TCACGTTCCAGATGTGCCCTGACTTTACAATCAAACGATGCATCGCTCATGGCGACGTTCCCAGCTGGAGAACATGTTGCTGGCGAGTGTGCAAGATTAAAGAGAAACAGTTCTCCTGTCTGTGCGTGAGGTGGCGGTTAATCCACCCCAAACTCCCATAAAAAGTTTTGTGAGTTGTTGATTTAGGGGAAACTATATAAATGTTGTGAAACGCTGTCTACTACAAAATCGTTTTTATGGATCCCCTCTTGGAAATCCGGCAAATGAAATGCATGTTGTTATTCCTTTCTTTGTATACAGTGTCAGTTTGTCCCGGGGTGTTGCAGTACTGGCGAGAAAGCTGCTCCGTCACTAAACAGCAGATCAGCTGCTTATCAGGACTTGATTTTAGTGGAACTTTCTGTTGCTGCAGCAGAAACGTTCATTAAAAGATGCATTTTTGAAAGCAGTATTTATTTTATTGTCTTGACTGTTAATTAGCACGCGCCTAAAACAACCTCAGGTTTAATTTAAAGGCTAATAGCTAAATGAGAGGCACTGTGTCATTTTGCGATTCATAATCCGAATAGTCGATTATTCGTTTCAATAATCGATAGATTAATCGACTATCGAAATAGTCGTTAGTTGCAGCCCTAATACTGACCTGCCCTTCTCTGCTTCTCGTTGGCTAGTAGTCCTTAACTAGGAACTGTGCATGTGCAACTCCCAACAAAGATCATTTAGAGACAAGATGTATCACTCCATAGCTAAAACGAACCTTAAACACACAGGGTAAAAAGAGGAGCTGCAGCAATGTGCAGTATGACAAAAATATGTTTTTTGTAAATTAAACCATGTAAACCTTTTCTGGTCCAACCCCTAAATAAGATTTTGAACCTGAAAATGAGCATAACACCACCTCTTTACATTTTTCAACATACGGTACAGATATTGATTGAATAACCTATTAAACCAAAATAAAGCATTGGTTGTCATTAGCAGTGAGAGACACCAAGGTTAAATAGAGAATGAAAAGAGCGCCACCTACAGAAACTCTATCTAAGAGAGTAGACACCACGCTGTTTGATTGACAGGTAACCGCTGGGAGGTCCAGTGCAGTAAAGCCAAATGAGGTTTGAAGATATAAATTAAAAACTGGACGCTTGTAGATTGTTGCCTACAAAATACATATTCCATAATGTGGTGAAACAGGAGCAGAGGGATTAGGGATTAGCAGACGGAGGTGGAATTCCAGACTCCATTCCTCCTAATCTCTCTGCTCCCCTTTTACAGCAACATGCTGTGAGCGTAAACATCCACTGTTACTTCCCCTCCGCAGCCACGCAAGGACTAACAGAGCTTCTGGCAGACTACAACAGGCAGCTGCAGATCACCAGACATTCAACAGCAACAACACAGCATGTGCAGTGTGCTGGCATAAGAAAGCAACACAGTCAAGTTGCCAAGTTAAGGGAACGAGACACCAGGAGGGTTAAAACTTTTAAAATTCAAGTTGATGTATTCATCGCAAGAAAGAGTTCAATATGGATGGCCTGGATTTTTGCCCTTTTGAGTAGTGAGAGAGTAATGTCAGTGTTACTATGTGGTTAGGCTGATGCAGAGCCGGCAGAGAGTCGCTCCCTGTGAGATGTACTTTTCAAAATGACTACAGTTGTTAGCACAATTTAAACAAAGCAAAGTCTTGAGGTTGAAGGTTCCTTCTTGACTTTGGGAACAGCAGCTTAACAAAAAGCAAACCCTGAAGCCGAGACTGGGCAAACAAAACCCTGAAGGAACGTTTCCAGTTAAACACCCCAGCATTATTCTGTGTTTGCAGAGTTGGCATCTTTAAAGGATTAATTGAAGGATGTGAAGGTTAGGGTTATTTAAATCTGGAAAAAATACAAGATGTCATGGCTTGAGTATAATCCTGATTCGCCCATGATGGTGTCAGGTCAGCACGAACTGCAAGCACGTTATCTTGTCAACACATTCTCGATCCCAACTCGCAGATACTGAGGCTTGGTCAAGGCCCTTTGGCGTCGCTTTTATACGCCCTGGGTAGCCCTTTACCATCATTTTTAGACGTTTAAGACTCCGCAGTCAAGTTAGCAACGCTTAGCACAATAAATATGCAACATCCGGGTAAGTACACTTTCAAAATAAAACGCTAGCGCTGCGAAACATTGCCATTCTTAAAAGTTGTGAAACCTTGCAATCTGGTTAAGTTTAGGCAAAAAGTACTTGGTTAGGTTTAGGCAAAGATCATGGTTTGGGTTAAAATAACTACGTACGTCAGTTAACACGTAAGTTAAGTAACGTTAATTTACGTAACTTAACGTAAATAAAAATATTTAGTGTTGACTTTTTGTTTCACATGGGACACACACCCTAACCCTGGTGTGGTATATAATAATAAATATTATATACCACCCTTGACCGTCGAAAACTGACGCTACGGGGCTTCCCCCACTGCGCTGAACTGTGACGCTGTGACAGGTTGATATTTTATGTTGTGGTTTTACAGTTTGAATCATACATCTTAATGATTACATCAAATATGCTTCATGTTTTGTGCTTTTAGGGCATGAATCTTTACAAATCTGAACGTAGGGCTGGACGATATGGCCAAAAATGTTATCACGATAAAAAGTTTCATATCTTTCGATATCAATAATTATCACAAAAAGTATCAAATCGTTTTTTCTTTCGAGGTTAAAGGCTGATTTTTACTCCTGGGTGAAAGTTGAAGAAACCTGATGGTTAATTGTGGTTTAAATATTTCTTTATGGTTCTGCGGCTCAGAATGGAGAACTAATATGGCTAATGTAACACACACAGACATATTCTCTGTTTTCTGAGAGAGGAAGGGGCAAAAGCTTCACCATTTTCTGTTGTGTCCTTCCACGGTGCTACATGCCCATCTGAACCACCTTTCAGGCGCTCTGAGACAGGCTGTTATTGCAACAAGTAACTGGCAGCTTAAATCCCAAAACACCTCCTGTGTTTGTTTTCAAATATTTATTTGGTTTCATTTGATATTCAGTAAAGCCGAGCATTTGTGTCTCTCTGATTTTCCGCTCATGATTTACATGTTGGCTTAGTGCGAGTGCTGAAGGAAGATGACATTTTGTCTCAAAGCTGTCAACTTTGTCTTCAGTCCCTCTGTGTTTTCCTCCCCGGCTTATCCTCCTTTTCACTGCCAGTCCCACAACACTTCCCTTCTCTGATCCCTCCTTCTCACTTTCTTTCTACGTCTCTCCTCATCTCTCTGGATCATTCTTTTAATTTTGCCCTCTGTCTCATCATTTCCACCTGTTTTTTTCCAGGGGACACGAGTGTGTCAGTGTTCAGATAATGTGCCCGTTCAGATGAAGATAATAGGGAATTCAGAAACACTCTTCACTGCTAATGGAACTACATCGCCTCAGGGAAACTGATGAAAGAACGTTTTGCCTTTCAAGTAGAGTTTAAACATTGCCTAGCATTATTATTTCTTTTTCCTGGAATCAACCACTTGTGCTTGATGTAATGCAAATTCTGTCATTTTCAAATGAGATATGTTGAAAAACAGCCCACCCAGTGAGACAAAATGATTGGCCCGGTGAATATATAACTGAGTAATGAATATATTTGAAGCCATCTCATTACAAAAAAATAACCTTTTGCTCATGTGCAGCTCTTTCTGTTCCTGTTAAAATGCTGAACATCAGAATAGATATATTTAGTTTCTCTCTTTCACTGCAAACCCTGATTTGCTTTTAACATTTTTAGACATAAATCTTTAAGGATCAGAATTTATAGCCAAGACAACAGCTCCTCCTCTGTCAAGTTTCTCGCTTTGTTAAGGTTTATTTCATTAAACAGTGTACTGACTAAACTCTTGAAGGGACTACCAGCTTTGCTACATATAGTTGAGGCAGATTTGTGTTTTCTCAAGTATTTCTTTTTTATAAAAGTAGCATCATTATCATAAAATTAATGTGAGAGCCAAGGACATTGATGATTGGTTTTTTTTAGGCCTATTTGCCCCCCATTTTTGTTTGCTTTGTCTTGTTGCCTGATGTTCATGATAATGCTTGATTTGATATTTCTCAAATAGGGGAGACATTTTTGAAATCCTGTTCGCTTTACCCTGCACGTATCGACTGAGCTCAAATATTGTCTATACCCCCCCAGGGGGGTCGTGACTTGGTCCCATGGGGGTCGCAAGAATGCTACTATAGACACAAAAATAGAAAAACAATAACTTAAAAATAAGAAGAAGGACTATAGTTGTGAATGGAATCACTTTTGAGGTGACACTGTAAATATTTTGCACTGTTTAATCCAGTAGGTGGCGGTAATGCCAGCCGCTATAAGAACGCCAAAGAAGAACGCCGATCAGACAGAAAGCGCTTTGCAGGTTCAAAAACGCGAGGCGCACAGCAATGCCTTTTTTTGGTTTAATTTGGAAAAGAACAAAGCGCTGCGTTTTTTATGTTGCTAGGCAACCACCGAATCAGCTGTCCAGTTTTGTATTAATAAATGTAATTAATAATTAATTATTAATAGTATACTGTTTTGCAATAAGTAAGAAATTCAGACATGATACAATATGAGGATAATCAAACTGCAACTAATGTAATAATTCTCTCATTAAGCTTCACGTAGAGAACACAATATTTTTTCCATAGCTACCTCATTGCATTGTGGGACTTGACAGTACAATGAATCTAATGGACTTTTTTGAGTTTACTTAATTTTGTCACATTTCTAGCCTAAAATCTTAGAGTAACTTTCAGCCTTTAGAAACACAAAAGAAACCCTCTATGATGATCTCTTTGCCAGAGGTTTGTGCAGTCGCTCTGGTTTTCAGCAAGTCACTTTAACCAGAAGTTACTAAAGTCTCATCACAATAATAACAGTTTTTTTCTTTTTCTCTAATTCTCCTTACATTCCCTACTTCCATTCCTTCATTCATCTGGGAAAACTGAAATGGAACAATGTTTTTTTTTTACTACTTCTTCTCCCCCCCGCAGGTAAATTCACCTGTATTGAGGCTCGTTTCCACCTGGAGCGTCAGATGGGCTACTACCTGATCCAGATGTACATCCCCTCGCTGCTAATCGTCATCCTGTCCTGGGTTTCCTTCTGGATCAACATGGACGCTGCACCCGCCCGAGTGGGTTTGGGTATCACCACTGTGCTGACCATGACCACACAGAGCTCTGGTTCCAGAGCCTCCCTGCCCAAGGTGAGGACAAATCAAACGCTCCAGTACCAGCTTTTGTAATAAACAAACATAGACTGTATAAAAGAAGTGGACGTAGTCATAGTGATGTCACCCGTTGGTTTGTGGACTGCCGTTTTGAAGCCTCAAGTTTGGCCAATAGGGCGCCGCCATTTTTGCAGCCAGCTGCACCGGACGTGACCATATTTGAACGAGACGGTGAAGCTAACGGCCATGTGTGGAGCTAGCTAGCTTTCTCAGCTAGGTGCATCTGTAATTCACGTTAACTGTCATTTTAAGAGGGCTTATAACTAAATGTACTCACCAGAGAAAGTGAACAGCCGACTACCAATACGTTTTTTCAGTGGCGCCGGTTAAATTTAAACAGTGCCGTGGGTACGAGTCACTCTAGCCTGATTGACAGGTCGCCATGGTAACAACTTGCCAATCACAGATAATCCTGCCTTGAAGCATACTCCATAAGACCATAATTTACTTAATGAACATCATGTTGTGTTGAAAAAGACTTGAAACTAGCGACTGAGACCATAAACTCATCAGGAAAGTGTTTACTGAGGTAATAATTCAGCTGAGAATTAGCGTCATGTTACCATTATTTCTAATGGTACCGGACTTCTTTTTGCAACCAGAAGAGTCGCCCCCTGCTGGCCGTTCGATAGAATGCAGTTTTCCGCATCAAGTCTCTGACCGGAATCTCCCGCTTGTAAACAAAGAAAGAAAATCAAATTAGCTGCTGTCCCAACTTTGTATAAAGTTAGACTTTTTAAAATAAGCAAATTGTCATATTTTATGATTGAACAGAAAAACAAGATTACAATTTGTGGTTGCAGGGAGAGTTGAATGGCATAACTATTTATTGAAGAACAATGTTTATCCATTTGACCAGTACTTCTCTGCAGTGCGTTCACTAGTAGCCTGTCAACCTCGCTGTGATGACAAGAATCTAACTCACTACTGTAGCTCGGTTTGCTTTAGCTTAGCCCACCTAGCTGTTATTTGACAAGAAATAGATTGAGCACGTAACTTCCGATAAAGTAACAAATTTACATTTTTACATGACTGTTTGGGTCTAGTTTAAACAAAAGATACAACATGTTAATTAGTGAGCTTTAAAGATGTTGGCAGATATGACAGATGTATATAATAACAGTGATAAAATAAGTACACAAATAAAAAACATTTGACCAAACAATATTACATATACAGTTAAACTCTGTCAGTATACATTTACGAACCAACATGTCATGTTCCAACAGTTTCACGCTTCACCTTTCTACTTTGGTAGACCACTTTGTCCCATTTTCTATCCAAATGTCAACAACATTTTAAGATAAAGAAAAAAGTACAGATAAAGAATTATTTATTTATTTATTTTTGTTCAGGACCTCATCATATGGTTTGGAGCACAAACGAGACATAACAAATAACAAACATATGGAGTGTTTCCCACTGGACTTTAAGAGACTATGGTGGGTGGGCCTTGGACCCTCTCGGGGGATCCGGGGGCATGTCCCCTCAGAAGAAAATTTTGTATATTTTAAAGTTAAATGCTTTAATTTGGTGCAAAATTAAGAGGCTATCTATGAAGAACTTTGCAATGTTGTGCTCTAATAAACTATTTAATCATAAACCCATTGTATAGCTATAATAAATGTGATGAAACAGCAACAAATGCGAACAAATTTATTAAATTTATCAAAGAATAGAAAATAGAATAAGTCATTTCCCTAACATTTTACTGTTGTTGTTTTTTTTACATTTAATGGACACATGTATTATGACATTTCATACTGCAACACTTGTCTTTGTAAAGAGACAAACTGACAGGATAAAGACGCTAACCTGCCTGTCAACTCGCTCTGGTCCGTTTCAGTTACTATAAAGGCTTTAATACGTGTGTACTCCAAATTTAGGTGCGGCTAGCTTGATCGTCCTCTCACAAACGAGTGACAGAAACCGTTAACGTTAGTTACCTCAAAAAGTTGTCTCAAGTCGGATGCCAACGTGTATGTAATATGTATGGAAGGAACAACCTAATTATGACATAAAGTATGAGGGTGGTTGATGTTTTCTACACCTTTTCACACCATTTCAATCAAACAAATGCAGTGGAAGAGTGGCAGAATACAGGAATAGAAGGGGAAAAGATGAATGTTAAAGAGAATTGGGGTAGGTAGACAGAGAGCTACAGTTTCTGCTGAATAATTTATGTTCAAAACAAGTAAAGGAAAATATAGACATAGAGGAATTATTAGAAAGAAGATGAAAGAAAGGGAAATAGGAAGAGAAATGGGAAGAAATAGCAGATTTGTCATTGCCAAATGTATGTTAGAGTGGAGGGATGAGAGGAAAAGTGGAGGGGAGGAGAATAATTAAAAACAGACATTTAACAGAGGAAGTTCAAGAAAACAAAGATGAGTGAAATAACTTTTAAAAACCAAGAGTAATATTTTCCTGAGGGATTTTCAGATTAAGGAAATACTTAACGGTCAGGCGTTGCGTGAGCCAGTAGGATTGCATAAGTATGTCCAGGGAAGCTGTAATCCCAACACACACATACCTACAAACACACAAACACACAAACACACACACACACACACAGTGTTTGTTGACATTAGGTGCTTCATGCGCTCTAAAAATTGAATAAGTGAACCGTGATTCCTCCGCAGTTCAGCTGTCACAATAATGATCACACAGCACAGCTGAGCTTAAGGTGAACGTACTGCTCACACACACACACACACACACACACACACACTCGTACATCTAAGTGTGTATGTGTGTGATTGATAGCAGATACACACACACTTAACACACGGCTCTTTTCACATGCCACAGAGGACGGCTGCACCATGTCAGGCGAGGCAAGAAAGGAAATGAGGAAAGGAGACGAGGCAGGAGGAGGAAGGAGGACGAACACGAGGAGAAGAAATACTAGATTGTTGACTGTGTTTGGGATTTATTTAGCAAAGCAGAAGATTGATGATGAGTTAATGTTACGTACACAGTAAGTTCTGATACTGTATATACAGGGATGGTTAACTCACCACAAAGTATTGCAGTATGCAGGTAGACAAAATGTATGAACAAGTCTAGAAAAACATAACATCTGTCAAAATGCTACACAATGCAGCTACTACAAAGGTTGGTCCTATCAACTTCAATGCAAAAGAAGCCATATTTACCAGCCTTTAAATAGATTTTTAGCATTTTGAAGCGGTTTCAAAGCAACTTTAGGATCAGAATCATAAATTATTTATTGACAAGCAGTTTTCACATGCAAGGAATTTGCCTTGGTGTTGTAAAAGGTACTAAGTACATTTAATTACCGTTTTACAACACATGTTTGTAAAATGAGATTAAGTTGTATTTTCCTTTTATGCCACTCACAAAAACAAACGTTATATACAAAAAAATATATATACGATAAATGGGTGAAAAAATAAAAAATGCCATAGTGATGCAAATAGTAATCTAACATACACAATTTTGAATAAGGAATGTGCAAATGTTCGTAGTATAAAGAATAAAAGCAACTTCTAAGTATCGGATTACACAATGTCAGCCAGAAAATGGTCCTGATCCTACAGACGATTACACATTAATAAGCAAATGAAATTTTATTTCATTTGTTATGATAAAATGCAACCGAGTCTGCGTCACGAGGCTCACAGAGAAAGATAGGTAGAACAAAAACTGATTTTGCTTTGCCTTCTCTCACCAAGTTCAACGATGTCTACCACGTGTTCTGTAACACTTTCAATGCCATGGTTATTAATATGTCTGATCCCTGAAGTCTGGGCCCTGATGTTCAATCAGGTTGTGACAGACTGTGATTGGCTGGGATTGAACATACTTTAGCTTATTCCTGATTGTAAACATTTATACGGAAAGTTATAAAAGCTACAAATTGGTAGTAAAACAGGAAACCAGGAAATAACTATTTAGAGGCATTATTTCAAACAATTTGGTGTACCCACTCTCTCTCTCCATCTGCTACATTTACTTCAGTTAGTGCTTTACTTTCCTAGAATGCCTTTTAACCACCTTTCAGAGAACGATGCATTTTTGCGTTAGTTGTACAAAGTTAATGTTTTCCAGGTAGGAAGGGGGCCATTTAGCTCTTCTTCACATATTTTAAATTGATTCATGGAAATACAGAGTTCTTGGTGTTTTATAATGTCTGCTTCCATTTGTGAATCTGCGTATGATGCCAGTACATTGTGCTAATTTTATAATTCCATCCAAGCATCTCCAAAATAATACATACAGCAACCAACACTAAACTAAACATTACTTGGTGAAAATAGGTAGGACATCAGTTTGAGAGAGGAAATTGGCTTGCATCCCTGCCTTATGTGTTTCAATACATTTTTTCTGTTTATATAAAAAGGTTTTACGAATTTCACGAATCTCTAAATTGGGGTAATGTAAGAATCCTCTTTATATTCTTATTCTGTTTCTCTCTCTCTGTCTGCATGACCATCAAACCGTTTAGGCCTCAGTGCCTCTCAGCAGCTCTGGGGGGGGGGGATCAGTCGGGCATTCGAAGATAAATGTTTTCATAAGCATCAGACTCTGTGCAAACGAGCCCAATTCACAACAAGGAAGAGGGGCGGTGATAAGCGCTGTGTGTTTGTGAAAGTGATCTAAAGTCATAGTTTAATTGGATTTTAAACGGCTGATTGTGGGTTTTGAGACAGAACAGGGATCTCCCTCTCAGGCTGCACGGTGTAATTGCGTGTGGAGATGGAGAGTTGTAATGACAGGCCAGGGTGAATGCACTTGAATAATGGCACTTGGCGGGTAGATAGCAATCAGACAATGATCCAACCAGGCTTCATTTAGCCCTTATTATCTGGACAGTCCTTACCCTGTCCTTCTCGGATCACAGCTCAGTCTGTATGTAAAATCTGCTGACATTCGACTGGTTTTGTGTGCTTATCGTATCTTGTGTTGTGGCTTTTGGTCCACCTGGCTGTCTGTGTAGTCCCTACAATCTACACATAAATTAAAAACATCATACAATTGTGATCTAAACTCTATGCAGTTAGCATACTTTTACATGTTCATGGAAAGTTATGAGTTTGTGCACTGGTCAACTTCACACCAGATTCCACTACAGCAGTCGAGGCGGTGTCATAGAGAGTGTTTGTCCCATGCTGTGCCTAACTGTTTGTCCTTGCCCCTCCTATAATCACTTTGATTTTGTTTTATTTAGGCAGTAAAATGAGAACTATAACTGAAACTCTGATGCATAAATATAGTTTTGTATTGAGGCCTAGTCCATACGTACAGGGTATTTTTATAACAGAGTTTTTCCTCTGTAGTTGAAAAAAAAAAATTCTGTCTACATGGAAACGCAAAACACGCTATCAAGCGCTGTCAAGAGCATGCCAAACCAACAGGCGGGGATATGACTCTAACCGTAAAGCTATGTTAGCCAATCAGAGCCTAATAAAAAACCGAGACCTCGGTACACTTTCAAACTCTGGTGCTGTTCACTTGTGGTGTGAAAGCAAACGAAACAACCACAGGATTTTATGATAGCGGAGATGTGATCTGAACATTATTTCCAAAGCTGAACCACTAATAAATCCATCTGTCACGGTAAGTGGGTGGTGAAGTAGGTTGTAGGACCCAAATGCAGGACACGAAAGCCAGCAGGAACAGTTCAGAGAAGGGTTTTAATACAACAAAAGGCGAGCACACTTACAAACAGAGTGGCTGATTGACTGAGTCCAAAAACAAAGGCTGTCCAACAGAAATCCAAAAGGGTGAAAACCAGAATCCAAAAATGAGCAGGGTAACAGGGAGACACAGTGAGTAAGGTTGAAGACACGAGAACAAACTGCAACACTGGGTGACAATAAACAATGACCCGACAAAGACAAGACAGAAACACCAGGTATATATACACACACAGGGACTAACGAGCAGGGCGGGAGCAACACAGGTGAAAGACATGAGGCTAATGAGGCACAGGCAGGGAGAGAGAGCGCAGGGGAAAACAGAGACAGACATGCAGAGGGATCACTGGGGTAACAGACATGACAAGGGTTACCGAACACCGAAGTCTCAAAGGGCCAAATACAGGCAGGGCAAAGCAGTTCAGGAGGCCAACCGAGGCGGCAAGAGGTGAACAAATATAAAGGGGCAGACCCGGAGGTCGACCAAGCAGACCAGGAGGGCAAAACAGTTCAGGTGGGCGTCCCGCGGGACGACCCATGAGGCCAGGCAGACCGGGGGGCCACAGAGTTCGGGAGGCCGTCCCGAAGGACGACCCAACAGGCCGGGCAGAACAGGGGGGCCACAGAGTTCGGGAGACCGTCCCCGGAGGACAACCCAAGGCGGAGCTGGTGCCGGTCGGACCACCGACAAGGGACCAGAAGTCGATCGGGCCACCGGCGAAGCTAGTGCCGGACGGACCACCAACTTGGGACCAGAAGTCGGCTGGGCCACCAACGGAGCTGCGGTTGGTCGGACCACCGACAAGGGAACAGGAGTCGGTCGGACCACCGGCAAAGCTGGTGCCGGTCGGACCATCGACGAGGGAACAGGAGTCGGCTGGACCACCAATGGAGCTGTTGTTGGTCGGACCACCGACAGGGCGCAAGGAGCAGGAATCGGCTGGACCACCAACGTAGCTGGTGTTGGTCGGACCGACGACAAGGGACCAGAAGTCGATCGGACCACCGGCAAAGCTGGTGCCGGTCGGATCACCGACAAGGGAACAGGAGTCTGCTCGAGAACAGGCAGGCTGCTAGCAGCCCTAGTGGGCCGGGGATCAGGCAGGCGGCTAACAGCGCTAGCGGGCCGGGGATCACGCTGGTTGCAGACGGGTCGCTGCTGGTGGCCTGGTCACCTCCGATGACCACCACGGGAACCCGAAAAGATGGTCAGGCGACTCCCTTCAAAGGAGAACTCCGGGGGAAGCCTAGCCTCCAGGCTATCGGGCCATAGGCTAGCTGGTCGACTCAGAGCTGGTTGGCTGACTGGTTGGGAACTAGCAGTCCTAGGGCTCTCTGGTTCTAACGCCAAGTCCATCAAAAAAGAGACCAGAGAGCTAGATGTCCAGGAGTCCCCAACCAGTCCGGATGATGGAGCTAACACAGGAGGGAGATGACCAGGCAGGCAGCTAGCAGCGCTAGCCAGCAGAGAATCAGGCGGGTGACTAGCAGGCTGGGTGCTAGCAGGCCGGGAGAGGAAGAAGCCTCCCACCCTGCAGCTAGCAGGCCGGGAACAAGTCCTTTGGGGGTTAGCAGGCTGGGGAACAGACGGCCTGGAGCTAGCAGCACCGGGGACAGGCTGAGGACTAGCAGCGCTAGCCGAGCTGGAGACTGGCGGATCAGGTTGGCGGCTAGCAGCTCTAGCGGGTCGGGGATCAGGCTGGTGGCTAGCAGCTTGAGCGCCACCAGGCAGCGAACCCTCGGGAGTGTCCATTATCTGCTCCAGGTCTCTCTTCATCCGTCTGATGACGACCAACTGCTCAGCCAGGGAGGGGAGATTCAGCAGCTTTAGCTTGCTGCACAGGGTCTTCTCCATGAGGCCATAAACAAACAGTCTGCGGTTCAAGTCCGTGGAATCCAGGATTGTGGAACCTAACCTTTCGCAGGTCGAGGTCCACTCCCTTATATCCTCTGCCAACAATGCTAGATCCGTTGGGTCCATTTGTGGTCGGGTCATTCTGTCACGGTAAGTGGGTGGTGAAGCAGGTTGTAGGTTGGAGGACCCAAATGCAGGACACGAAAGCCAGCAGGAACAGTTCAGAGAAGGGTTTTAATACAACAAAAGGCGAGCACACTTACAAACAGAGTGGCTGATTGACTGAGTCCAAAAACAAAGGCTGTCCAACAGAAATCCAAAAGGGTGAAAACCAGAATCCAAAAATGAGCAGGGTAACAGGGAGACACAGCGAGTAAGGTTGAAGACACGAGAACAAACTGCAACACTGGGTGACAATAAACAATGACCCGACAAAGACAAGACAGAAACACCAGGTATATACACACAGGGACTAACGAGCAGGGCGGGAGCAACACAGGTGAAAGACATGAGGCTAACGAGGCAGAGAGAGAGCGCAGGGGAAAACAGAGACAGACATGCAGAGTGATCACTGGGGTAACAGACATGACAAGGGTTACCAAACACTAGACGACAGACAATACAAACCCCCAAAACCCAACAGACCGAAATAACGCTAACTAAACACAAAAGTGCAAAACACGGCATGGCAGACAGGCAGAGTGTGACAGTATCTGCTGACAGCGACATGTGTTCAGCGATCTTATAATTGATCTGTATAAGCCGCTATGTTTCTGAAAATCATTTTATAAGGTATAGCCTACTTGTCAGTGTGGGTATTTCCCTGATTAATAAGGTTAAAATCTGGTTAAAAATAGAGGGCAAGTAGTATTCAGTTTACCCTGTCAGTCCATAAAAACTGTGTGACAGCGATACCATAGTATACTATATGCGAACAGAATTATTACTGTACATCCTGTTATTATTCATAATAGGCTATGTGGTGGATCTGCTGTCTAGCATTACTAATCATGCTTATAATAAATACAGCGATACAGATCGGAAGCTTTAAAGTGCTGCATAAACTTCTGTCAGTCACCAGAGTTTGATTTCCCCACGTGGGTCCTGATGATGGAGGATGACAATCGCCAAAGCTGTCCAATCAACAAGTTACCTGTACGTCTGTGTAACGTCATGGTTACTTCTCTTGGCTCGTTTGTAAAACTGCAGTGTGAACATGAACCGGACCAGAACTAAAATGCAACAGCGTATAATTTTTTCACTTGGTCCGGACCAAATGAACCGAACTACAGGTGTGAAAGCACCCTAAAATATGGGTGTGTTTAGTGCACAAACTCCTTAAAGACAAAAGTTGACATGAATTTTAGGGATCTGCTACATGAAGAAAATACTTATCAAGACAGTCTGTGGCTGGCTGCACAAGAAACCTTAAAGCATAAACAGTTTCTCATCATTACTTTTGTCGCTTTCTTAAGAATCAAATCAAGATGATCGTATTAATGATTATCAAGTCAGACATCAAGGCTGGTGGGCGATTCATAAAACAACAACGCCTCTAAACAGCTCAACCCAGATGCCACTAACAGTTTCTTTCCCCTTTACAGGTGTCCTATGTAAAAGCCATTGATATCTGGATGGCTGTATGTCTGCTGTTCGTGTTCTCGGCCCTGCTGGAGTATGCCGCTGTCAACTTCATCGCACGCCAACACAAGGAGCTGCTGCGCTTCAGACGGAGGCGACGACACATGAAGGTGAATAATCTCCCACATCTGTGATCCAGTTAAACATTTACATTCACATTGTCTTCTTTTATCTTTCCAGTTAAGTTTTTCTGTGATTCCGAGTAACAAAACGCCTGATAAAAGAAAATGAGACCAGCTTTTGCTGCTCTTCAAATAATTATACATGACTTAAGGATTTGACAAAGATGAATACAGATGGAATTTGAATGCTAATCTTGAATGATCCACACTCTTCCATATGTGCCCTTTAACTTCTATCGTTCAGCTGTTTTAAAAGAAAGGACCTTTAAGAACAAAGAGTAACCAAACAAGCTGTTTTCCAATGGTCAAAAACAAACGGTTCAACAGTTATTTTGTCCGTACACAAGCATCATCTTTATTGACTTGTGTTGTTGTCTCCAGCTAGCACCACAGAAAAGAAACAAATAATTTAAAACCACAAATGTGTTGTTTTTAAGGGATGAGAAGTGGTACCTACTGCAGTTATGGAAATCCTCTGCCGCTGGGCAGCAATGTCCACCTAACCAAGATCTTATATATCATTCATACCTTGCACTTTGTAGAATAATGTAATCATAGATAATTTATTATTACTGCTTAAGCACTTCTGGTTCGATGCTATCTGCATTTTGTTGCTTTGTACCTAGTGACAAGCGCAATGACAATAAAGTTGAATCTAATCTAATCTTAGTTTGTTAGGTGGACATTGAGGCGACGTTCTGCACTGTAAACATCAGAATGCGGTTTGGATTAAAATCCCTGCGCTCTGTCCTCGGGCTCTGAAATATTTACTCCGTGTTTGATATTAGCTTTGTGAGGTGCTCATCACCAGGCAGAAACACATGGCATCAATGTTTCATGGGCGGAGCAATGAGCATGATTAAAAGCTGAGCTGTGGAGCAAACAGAGACAAGGCTCATAATGGATTCATAATGTAGAAGAGTTAAAAAAAATGTTCCCTCTGCTCTGAAACTTTTGTTTGTGGAAATGCATAATTTACAAGAAACAGTGATGAGAGTGTGTCTTTTTCAGGGATGTGTGTAGTTGCACTGAATCCAGCATTTTGATCCCTGTTTCACGGTCAATGTGCTGCATGTCTCTTATTTCTATTTTATTTTTGCCATATTAATATTCCAAAGTAAACATCCTGTCAAAAACACACTAGCAAAAAGCAACTTGAACGAAAAGTTTACTGTTTTCTTTTAAAGCTGAAATTCAAATTCATTTCATGGAAACAGCAGTAAAGACAAACAGACTTGTGGTGACAAGGTGCATTTAGTAGATGTTCTGGAGCTTTTGATCGTCCTACATGATCCTTATTAGCAGGCAGAAGTTCAAGTGGTTTAATATGTCTAATAACTCACTGTAGTTGATATTTTATTAAACAGCAATGTGTTTTGTGTTTGTGAGGGTCGTATGTATGCATAGATGTGTTGCTGAATATGTTAGTGTCTTTGCACTGCGCTGGAGAAAAACAGCACAGTCAACAACCTTTTGTTTTTCTTTGTTTTGACATCACTATGAAGTCAAAAACAAATAGATCTACTTCAAAAACCACCTAAATTTTTTATTAACTGTCTCCAAGCCTAAGAAGACTACTTTAGATGAAATGAAGATAAAGTGGAGACCTGAAAATATGTCACTTTATTTAATTTCTCAAAACCTGCTTTGGATATATTTAGTAAAAATGACAAAGCGTGATGTCAATTTTCCCCTGGAGGACTTTTGAGATGTATCAGGGTTTTTCATCTTTCATTGTCTTTGTATTTTTACACATTTAATCAATCAATTCTATCTGTCTGGGTATATTTATCAGTCCCGGGCTGCTATATTGAAAAAGGAGTAAAGCTGTCAGGTTTGTGGGGAATACTGAAGTGCTGATTGATTGTGAAACTGGTGGTTTGTGTGTTTGTGTGGGTTGGTGGGGGCAAAAAAACATAAAACACCCACAGGAAATGCAATGGTGGGCCTGCAGTAAACAATCCATGCAGTCCTGGATTTGTGTCTCTATGTGTGCGTGTATCAGAGAGAGGAGGAGATTATATCTATACAGCCGGTGAACTTGCATGAGTGCATTCACGAGGGCTGTCGTGCGTTTTGACGTTGTAGGGCATGTGTTCGCTCCTGCCTTGACTGGAGCTGCTGACACTGAGCAGTTTCCGTATTTATGAGGGCCTCGTGTCCTCGCAAGGCTGCTAAGGTGACAAAGGTGCTGTGAAGTGAGGACACTGTGCGAGAAAGTCCTGTTCGGGATGAGATTGTTTTAGTTTAGAGATGGATGAAGTCAGGGTCACGTTTAAATTGGATTCAGAGCTAAAGGTAATCCTTTTTTTTTTTTTTTTTTTTTTTACAATTATTATTAGGGATGATGATGTCTTCAAATTGTTTGTTTTCTCAGACCAACGATGTTCAATTGACAGTAATACAAAACTTCACATGTGAGAGGCTAAAATAGCAAATGTTTGGCATATTTGTTGCTTGATAAATTATTTAAATGATTTGCAAAAATTTTCCTCAGTGCTGTTTTCCGAAGAATAAACTTTGAAACTCAGCTTTTAAGCCAGTGTCATGTTATATAAGCAAAAGCACCGGAACAGCTACAGTACCTTGAGGAAAGATTGTTTTCTCAAAAGCTTTTAGAAGAGTCATGAAAAATAAATATTATTGATTTTATGTGGTAGAAATATGTTTTTCCTTTCCTTTTGTGACTCTTCTGTCGACAACTGAGAAGTGATTGTAAAGTATTTTATGACACCAAATTAAATTTTTCAAATAGCATCATTCTCAATTTATTATTTATTATTATGATGTCAAATTTAGATTTGTGATTGTTGTTATTGCTATGCACAAAGATACCAAAGCAAATTCCTTGCATGTGTAAACCTACTTGGCAACCAAGCTGAATCTGACAAACCCAAATTAATGGAGTAAAAATGGGTTTAAATAAACAAATGACAGCCTGCTGTTTGTGAACACTTCCTTAAGTTTAGGTAGTTTCATACGCACATCAACCTCAGTTAATAAAAGCATAGAAAGGAAAAGGAATCAGGAAGTTCAGTGGGGTTTGTGGGGAAAAGATACATAAAAATAAAAAACTATAAATCCTAAATCCTATTGTTGTAATCCCCAATCCTCTGAGCTGTGATTTTAGGTGAAGAGCTAGATTAGCGGTCCGGCTGCCGGTGCACTTTCAGGTGAATCAGACACTAACCGCCTTGCTCGCTCACTCTGTTTGTATACCTCTCACTATGTCTCTCGACCGTCTTTCACCCCAACAGCAGGAAGAGAGAGCGAGAGGACCGCAGGCTCAGGATTGACCCACATCTGGCACACCAAACCTTTTGCATAGTTTTTTTTTCTGTTATACAGTTTATTTCTGCTCATGTGACGAAAGCAGGAGGTGAATTTAGGCCATCGGTCTGTTATGTAATTTGAGTTTGGTTAATGAAGGAGCTTGTCTGTTCAGTTGAGGTCAAAATCTAACAGACTTTGCAGCTGATCACATTTCATCACAAAATTTTTGAATTCAGGTGCTGTAACGTGGTTTGTTTGACAAACTGTACAGTCTATTCTTCACACAGTGTGATTTATTTATTAGTAATTTCTATCCATAACATGTAGAAGAAAGAAAACACACTTATCCAGCTACTTCTGCCTTTTCACACCACAGTCACAAATGTTAAAAAATAAATGTACTTGAACTGTCAGGCGATTTGATGAAAGCATCAGCACCAAATGTCAGAGATGTTACTGCAAGTGGGTGAAAATTTTATGAAAACAGATTATGCTCCACTGCAAGAGAATAAGATACAGATAATGTTAAGACAAATAGACTGTAATGAAAGAAATCAAAGAAAATGTTTAATACATATATCTAGTGATCCCCATAAAACTGCAGGAAGCACAAATCAAGCATCATACTGTTTGTTTTTATCAAATTAAATTATCAATGGAAATCAAATTTATCAACCCATGGAGGTCTGGATTTGGAGTCACACTCAAAATCAAAGTGGAAAACCACACTACAGGCCGATCCAACTTTGATGTAATGTCCTTAAAACAAGTCAAAATGAGGCTCAGTAGTGTGTGTGGCCTCCACGTGCCTGTATGACCTCCCTACAACGCCTGGGCTCCTGATGAGGTGGAGGATGGTCTTCTGAGGGATCTCCTCCCAGACCTGGACTAAAGCATCTGCCAACTCCTGGACAGTCTGTGGTGCAACGTGGCGTTGGTGGATGGAGCGAGACATGATGTCCCAGATGTGCTCAATTGGATTCAGGTCTGGGGAACGGGCGGGCCAGTCCATAGCATCACTGCCTTCCTCATGCTGGAGGATGTTGCAGGCAGCAGAACGTTCTCCACGGCGTCTCCAGACTCTGTCACGTCTGTCACATGTGCTCAGTGTGAACCTGCTTTCATCTGTGAAGAGCACAGGGCGCCAGTGGCGAATTTGCCAATCTTGGTGTTCTTTGGCAAATGCCAAACGTCCTGCACGGTGTTGGGCTGCAACCACAACCCCCACCTGTGGACGTCGGGCCCTCGTACCACCCTCATGGAGTCGTTTGAGCAGACACATGCACATTTGTGGCCTGCTGGAGGTCATTTTGCAGGGCTCTGGCAGTGCTCCTCCTGCTCCTCCTTGCACAAAGGCAGGGGTAGCGGTCCTGCTGCTGGGTTGTTGCCCTCCTACGGCCTCCACGTCTCCTGATGTACTGGCCTGTCTCCTGGTAGCGCCTCCGTGCTCTGGACACTACGCTGACAGACACAGCAAACCATCTTGCCACAGCTCGCATTGATGTGCCATCCTGGATGAGCTGCACTACCTGAGCCACTTGTGTGGGTTGTAGACTCCGTCTCGTGCTACCACTAGAGTGAAAGCACCGCCAGCATTCAAAAGTGACCAAAACATCAGCCAGGAAGCATAGGAACTGAGAAGCGGTCTGTGGTCACCACCTGCAGAACCACTCCTTTATCGGGGGTGTCTTGCTAATTGCCTATAGTTTCCACCT